CCTGAGATATTCTCAGCTTGCTTCTCCTGACATGGAACCATTACCTCATGATCCAGGGCAGGACCTCAGTATTCTCAGTGTGCCACACTCAAGGTAGAGTTCATCAGTAGGGATTGGGCAGAAGAAAGGAGTCCATACTTCTCAACTGTACTCACCCAGAACTTAGCCTCCGCAACAGGCATTTGGGGGCAGGATGAGAAATGCTGAAGTTCTGCTTTGGGGAAAGAAAGCCCTACATGTGGGAGTTAGGGGAAAGGGAGCCCTGTGCTCTTGGCTGCAAACAGTCTAGAGTAGAATGTATGCCTTGTTAAGCTGGGAAGGAAGAAGTGGTGGTCTTGGCTCAAATACCACAACTTTCTTACTAAATTGTCATAGATTTTCTTAAATGATTCTTCATTTACTGTTTGCCCTTAGGTCTATTCCCTGAGGCATTAAATCATTGTTTTTAAAAAATAACTGTTACCAGTTTCACTTGAGCTGGGCATTGGAGATCTTCATGCCATCATGCTGGAAAAGTTGAACTAATTATCTTTTTAAAAAATTGTAGGAAATACACAATGCAGAAAATTTATCATCTTAACCATTTTTAAGTACTTTCACATTAACTACTTTGACATTGTTGTGCAACCATCACCACCATGCATCTCCAGAACCACTTTCATCTCATAAAACTGAAACTGTACCTATTAAAAAAATAACTTCCCTCTAATAACCTTTCTTGGGATCCATCATTCTACTTTCTGTCTCTGAATTTAACTACTCTACATATCTCATCTAAGTGGAATCATTCACTTTTGATTCACTTATTTGCCCTTTTGTGACTGGTTTATTTCAATTAGCATAATATCTTCAAGGTTCATCCATATTGTAGCATGTGTTAGAATTTTGTTTCTTTTTAAAGCTAAAAATTTTCTATTATGTTTGTGTATACATATATATCAAATTTTGTTTATTCATTCATCTGCTGATGGAAATTTGGGTTGCTTCCACCTTTTAGCTATTGTGAATAATGCTGCTCTGAACATAGGTGTACAAATATCTGTTCAAGTTTCTGTTTTCAATTCTTTTGGGTATAGACCAAGAGGCAGAATTACTGGGTCATGGGTAAGTCTAGTTTTAACTTTTTGAGGAATCACAATACTGTTTTCCATAGTGGCTACACCATTATACATTCTTAGCAACAGTGCACAAAGTTTCCAAATTCTCTATATCTTCACCAACATTTGTTATAATCCATTATTGTGTTTTTAGCTATCCTAATGGGCCTTAGTTGTTATCTCATTGTAGTTCTGATCTCCATTTCCCTAATGATTAGTAATGTTGAGCACTTTTTCATGTGCTGTTGGCTATTTGTATATCTTTTGGAAAAATATCAAGTTCTTTGTCCATTTTTTATTGGACCACATATTTATTTATTGCTGAGTTGTAGAAGTTCTTTGTATAGTCTGAATATTAACCCCTTATCATATATATGATTTTTAAATATATTTTCCTCATTCCATAGGTTGCTTTTTACTGTGTTGTTGTGTCCTTTGATGCACAGAAGTTTCTAATGTTTGATGTAGCTCATTATACCCATTTTCTTCTGTTGCTGTATGGTGCTTTTGGTGTTATATTTAAGAAATTATTGCCAAATCCCGTGTCAAAAAGTTTTTCCCTTACGTTTCTTCTTCTTCTTTTTAATAGATTTTATTTATTTGAGAGAGAGAGACAGAGAGCACTCACAGGAGCACACGTGAGGGATGGGAGAAGAACAGAGGGGGAGGGAGAGGGACAAGCAGTCTGCGCTAAGCATGGAGCCAGACTTGGGGCTCTATCCCAGGACCCTGAGATCATGACTTGAGCCAAAACCAAGAGTTGGACACTTAACCAACTGAGCCACTCAGACACCCCTCTTCTAAGAGTTTTATAGTTTTAGCTGTAAGGGCTTGATACATTTGGAGTTATTTTTGTATATAAGGGTCCTACATCATTCTTTTGCATGTAGATATCCAGTTTTTCCAACACCTTTGTTGAAAAGACTGTCCTTTCCTCATTGCATAGAATTGGCATCCTTGTTGAAAACCATTTGAACTTATATGTAAGGGGTTATTTCTGGGCACTCTAGTCTATTCCATTGGTCCATATATCTGTCTTTATGCTAGTAGTGCACTGTGTTGATTCCTACAGCTTCATAGTAAGTGTTGAAATCAGGACGTGTGAAACCTTCACCTTTGTGGTTCTTTTTCAAGATTGTTTTGACTTTTTGGGGTCTCTTAATTTTCCATATCCATTTTAGGATGGATTTTTTTATTTCCATAAGAAATGTAATTGGGATTTTGATAGGGATTGCTTTGAATCTGTATCTTGTTTTGGGTAGTACTGACATCCTAAGAAATATTCCAGTGTATAAACAAGGGATGTTTTCCCATTTATTATCGTCTTCTTTCATTTCTTTCAGCAATTTTTGTAGTTATCAGTGTACAAGTCTTTCACTTCCTTAGTTAAGTTTATTCCTAAGTATTTTATTCTTTTTGATATTATTGTAAATAGAAATCTTTATTCTTAATTTTCTTTTTGGATTGTTTTCTTTTTGGATGGATAGAATCCAAAACATTGTTGCTAGTGTATAGCAACATAGCTGATTTTTGTGTGTTAATTTTCTATACTACAACTTTGCTGAAGTGATTAGTTCTAAGTTGTTGTTGTTTTTTTTCTTAAATGTGGCATCTTTGGGGTTTTCTACATATAAGATCATGTCATCTGTGAACTGAGATTTACTTTTTCCTTTCCATTTTGGATGATTTTTCTTTCTTCTTCTTCACTAATTGCTCTGGCTAGGAAACCCACTTCTCTCCTGAGAAGTAGCAAAAGTGGGCATCTTTGTGTTGTTCCTGATCTGAGGGGAAAAGCTTTCAGTCTTTCATCTCTGAGTCTGATGTTAACTGTAGTTTTTTCAGAATGCCCTGAGGAAATCCTTTCTCTTTCAGATTAGCTAAATGGTTTAAAAAAAATTTTTTTAATAATGAATGGATATTAATTTTTTTCAAATGCTTTTTCTTTATCTGTTCTGATGATCTCATAGATTCTCCCCTCCCAGTCTATTAATATGCCAAGTAATATTGATTTTTAAATGTTGGAACAACCTTGCATGCATTATCTTCAGTTGGTCATGATGCACTATCCCTTCTACATATTGTAATACCATATAATATGTATGTATTGTATGTATAATATATCCATAATACATATAATATATACACAGTAATATATGATTTTTATGGACTGAATGTTTGTGTACACCCAAAATTCATGTTGGCCCCCTAATTCCAATATGATGGTATTGGAAGGTAGAACCTTTGAAAAGTAATTAGGTCATAAAGGTGGAGACCTCATGAATGGGATTAGTGAGTGCCCTCTGAAAAGAGGCCAGAGAGTTAGTTAAATGTCTTTCCACCATGTGATACATTGAGAATACATTGAGGATATATTGAGAAGTTAGCAGTCTGCAACCTGGAAGAGGGTCCTCACCAGAACTCAACCATGTTAGCATTCTAATCTTGGGCTTCCAGTCTCAGAATTGTGAGAAATAAATTTGTTTATAAGCCATCCAGCCAATAGTATTTGTTCTAACAGCCTGAGTTGACTCAGATAATGGTACATGTAATATATATGCAAATATATAGTATTCATTTATTAAAATTATATTGGCTTGTTTTCATTTTTTGGCTATTATAAACAAAGATGCTATAAAAATTTGTGTACTAGTCTTTGTATAAACATATACTTTATTTTCTCTTGAGTAGATACCTAGAAGTGGAATGTCTGGGTGGTATAGTAGGTATATATTTAACATTGAATAAACTGCCAAAGGGTTTTTCATTTTCCATTCCTACCAGCAGTGTATGAAAATTCTGGTTCCTCCACATTCTTGCCCACATTTGGTATGATCAGTCTTTTAATTTTAGCCATTCTAATAGGTGTTCAGCAGTATCTCAGGGTTTCAATTTACATTTCCCTAATGACTAATGCTGATCATCTTTTGATGTGCTCATTTGCTATCTGTATATGTACTTTGTTGAAGTATTTATTCCAATGTTTTGTTCATGGGGCGCCTTGGTGGCTCAATTGGTTAAGCATCTGCCTTTGGCTCAGGCCATGATCTCAGGGTCCTGGGATTGAGCCTCGAGTTGGGGGGTGGGGGGTGGTCTCTGCTCAGCAGGGTAGTCAGCTTCTCCCTCTGTGCTCATTCTCTCTCTCAAGTAAATAAATAAAATCTTAAAGATCTTAAACATTTTTAAAAAATGTTTTGCTCGTTTTAAAAATTAGGTCATTTTAATATTGTTTTGAGAATTGTTTATATATTTTGGATACAAGTACTTTATCAGATATATGCTTTATAAATAATTTTTCCCCCTGTATGGCTTCTTTTTTCATTCTTTTAGCAATGTCTTTCAAAGACCAGAAATAGCTTTCATTTTGATGGAGTCCAATTTACCAATTTTATCTTTAATGGACTGTGTTTTTTTGTGTCATATCTAAAAATATCATTGCCTAGCCCATTCAGATTTATATATTACATACTTGTCTGTATATATATTATACTTTGATTAAAAGTTTTAAAAATTCAATTCTTAGTTTTCTAATGAGATAACTAATTTTGTGACAATTTATTTTATATTTTCTAGGGTACACTGCAAAGAAGAATGGATGTTTACTTTACTATCTATATTATAGCTAGGTTAGTTATTATTAATACCATAATCAACTAGTTCTTAAGGTCATGAGTAGACTTTCCTCACTCCACTCTAATGTTCTCATGATTAGTAATGAATTATAGGAGCCAACAGCCAATATTGTGCTTTAAGATATGTTATGTGGTAAAGACTTAACAAAATCAATATATCGATATTAGAAGTGAGTTGGTTATTTCAAAGCAGTATATTTTCTACCTTTAACATTTCAGTCAAGTTCTTTATGGTGCTATTTTCAAATAAACTCAGAATTCTAAAGAACATTACCTGTATGACTGTCCTTGGGGTAGAAATATTCATTTTTTCTGTTTTTATCTCAGGTAAAACTGTCAAGGTTTTTGACATAGCCATTCTGCTTTGGTTTACACCAACATATCCTTTTGTTTGACCTCCTTTTACTGTGTTAGTAAAGCTAATAGATTTCTTTGGCTGTGGGCCAACGCTCCTATATCAGGAAAAGAAAACATAATACAAAGGATCCATGATTGAAGGAAAATTAACCAACAATAAAAAAGCAGACTTTCATTTAGAAACATGGAAACAATCTGAACATATAAACAAGAAAAAATAATAGCTACCTGAGAGCTCATCATGTGTAAACAGAGTTCTAGAATGTTTACATGCATTCTGTCACTTTTTCCTTGCAATCCTTAAGAGGCTGCTATAAATATCATTTTATATAAAATCACAGAGGCTTAAGAGGGAAATATTCCTCCTAGAGTTGAAATTTGAAGCCAGCCAGTCCAATCCAAAGTCTGCACTGATTTCTCTAGGTCTTAGTTTCCTTATCTGTAAGATGGGGATATTAAATAGTACCCTATTCATAGATTATTATGAGGATAAATGGATTAATTTGTATATTATGGTTAGGAAGTCCCTGGCACATAGTAAGCATAAGTGAGTGTACGGTACAGCTAATAGGCAGAACGAAGCATGAGCATTGTGTTCCTGCCTGAACAATTACATAATAATTTTTAATAAGAAGATAAAATCAAAATGTTTGCATCCTGGAGGAAAAAAATACGATTTTACTTTTGTACCCTCTGCAAATTCCTAAACACAAAAACCTACCTTATCATTTCTTTGTTCTAGTACTCTGATCATACTATGGATTTCTATAAAACAAGGATGATCTTCCTTTAGATTATAAAAAGGAAATCTGTTTCCAAAGAAAACATTTTGTCTTTTATTATTTTTAAATTTTTATTTTAAGTAGACTCCACACCTAACATGAGGCTTGAACTCATGACCCTGAGATTAAGAGTTGCATGCTCTGCTGACTGAGCCAGCCAGGCGCCCCAAACCCCCAAAGAAAATATTTTAAATGGTACTTTTACTTTTCAAATCATAAAAGACCAGACAAGAATGAAATATTTTTAAATGACAATCATCAATCCACTTTTCACATTTTATTTTTCTTCATAGCATTTATTACGACTTGACACTTTGTTCCTGTTGTCCATTCCTTTACTAGAATGTAAGCATCTTCAGGGCAAGAACTTTTGTCTTGTTAATTGCTACATTCCTAGAACCCACAACAGTACCCAGTATACTGTGGTCACTAAAAAAGTATTGTTTAAATAAATGAATTTCATTCATGTGGTATTTCCAATTTATATTCTTTTAAAGTATGTTACTCTCTCCTCCCTCCTTCAATGTCTAAATGACTTTATCTTCAACATCTCTAAGAAAATAAGATCAATCAGGTAAAAACTCCTTAAATTATTTCTCCATTGTCATTATATTTTTCTTCTATATCCTACAAACTCATCTAAATTTATCGTTCTTTCTTCTTTCAGTAAAAGACTTGCCATTCCTATCTAAGGCTAATCTTTCTACCTGTGCTCTAAAACCTGTTGGTTGTACTTTCTCAGGGACTTCTGTCCATCAATATTTCCCTATCTGCTACATATTATTTCCTATCTTTTCCCCTGGAGCATATAATTATGCTCCAGTCATCCCCTTAACTTAAAAATCCTTCCTTTATGCCTTCCTCTATGTGTTACTTTATCTACCCTTCCTTTCATAGCTCAACTCTTTAAATATTAGTCAATACTACTACTTCCTTATTCCTCTTATCTGACCCATAATTCACTACAATCTAGTTTTACCTCCCCTCTCCTACCACATAGTGACTTCTTTCATTAAAATCACCTAGTCCTTCAACTTGTCAAATCTAAGGGACTCTTTTCAGTACTTATCTTTGTAGCATCTGACAGTTGACACCTCCCTCTTCTGTGACACCACCATCTCTTATTCTTCAACCTCTTTGGGACCTCTAACCATCTGACCCTTCCATTTTCTATTAGTACCTTTTAGGTTTCTCTTCTTTCTCTATTTAATCCAGAATCCACAATTCATCAATTGAATCACTCTTTTACCATTACCTTCAACTTGTATTTTCTCTTTCCTTGACATTTTACCCTCCTATTCTTAAAAAACTAGTCCTCCCATTCTATTTTTCCTTTATTAGCTTCCTCCTTTGAAGATTACACTTAGGCTCAAACCTCAGTTATTTGTTTGTTCTCTCTCTCTCTCCACACATACAACACACACTATCCCTGAGTAAAGTAACAAAACCTATGGTTTCAATGACTACTTATATTCCACCTCCTTATGGCAGTCTGCCATCAACACCACCACCTCCTTTCTCCCTTTCCCTGAAGATTTTATATCCTAAATGACTCTCTCTCTCTCTCGAATACTACTTCTGGCATAATTCCTGAGTATTTCAATATCCATTAAGGTAATCCTTCTAATACTATGGCTTCTTAGCAACTTGAACCTTTCTCACATACATAATCTTGTCCTCCTTGCTATGTCAGCTACTTATTCCCGTGGTCATACATTTGATCTTGTCCTTAACAAAGTCAACTGTCACTTCCTATTTTTTCAGCTTATATGCCCTCTTTTTTTTTTATAATGAATTTTCTTGGGTAGCTTACGCTCTCTCTCTCTCTCTCTCTTTTTTTTTTTTTTTTTTTTGGGAAACAGAAACCCCATGAGGTGGGGGGGGGGGGGGGGGGGGGGGGGGAAGGGGCAAAGGAAGAGGGAGAGAGAGAAAGAATCTTAAGCAGGCTCCACGATCAGTGCAAAGCCTGATGTGGGGCTCGATCTCACAACCCTGAGATCATGACCTGAGCTGAAATCAAGAGTTGGACGCTTGACTGAGCCACCCAGGCGCCCCTACACCCTCTTAATACCTAATTTCAAACAGCTCTATTCAACTTCCTTCAACTCCATTATCACCTTCAAGCCCTTGATTCTATCATATTTTACTGCTTCACCCACTCCTCTCATGCAATCTCTCTCTCCTGAGCTTAAGGTTAATAAATATAATCCACAGTTGATTAGGCATATCTCAGAGATACTGCAAGTTCAGGTCAGGCTACCACAATAAAGCAAATATCACAATAAAGTGAGTAAAATGAATGTTTTGGTTTCCCGGTGCATATGAAATTGTGTTTACACTATACTGTACTCTATTAAATATGCAATAACATTATGTCTAAAAATACAATGTACATACCCTAATTAAAAAATACTTCATTGCTAAAAAATGCTAACCATCATCTGAACTTTCAGTGAGTCATAATCACTGATCACAGTTCACTATAACAAATATAATAATAAAAACGTTTGAAATATTGCAAGAATTACTAAAATGTGACAGAGCCACAAAGTGAGCAAACGCTATTTGAAAAATGGTGCCGGAAGACTAGCTGGACACAGGGTTGCCACAAACCTTCAATTTGTAAAAAACACAGTATCAACAAAGTGCCATGAAGAGAAGTACAATAAAATGAGGTATGCCTGTATTGTATATAAAATCCTTACTTACACTCTCATCATCCTTTTTCTTTTTTAAATTCACTGTACTTGCTGGCAAAACCAAAACTTTGATCAATTCCAATTACTTCTTACCTTTGAGCCTACATCTGTATATTAACCACATTTCTATCTTCTGTAAACTTGATGCCTTACCATTTGCCACACACGTTTAGGCCCAACATATCTTGTTCTGGACAAACTGATATGCTCAAGTCAATGTGTCTTGGTTTCCTGCCTCCCTTGTCACCCCCCCTCCCCTCCCAGGGGCACAAATTCCCAATGTAAACCAGTCTATCCCCAACTGCCTCCCTTGTCAGGCCCTCACACTCTGGCCCACTATATACCTTCCCTCATCACCCTATAACCAGGTACCAGACAATTAAGGATGGCCCCTATGTTCCAGAACCCACTGAAATTATTCAAACTAGCCAATCTTAAGCCTTCTTGCCATGCCTCACCTGTACCTTCCCACCAAAACCATGAAAAAGAAAGGCCCACAGTTCTTCCCTTTCCCTCTGCCTGATGACTGACCCCAGTGCTTCCCCATGTAGCCCCCTGTGGCATTGCCTACCCTCTCCTCTTGGTAACCATGAGTAATAGACTATTTTTTTCAATGGCAATCATCTGCTGATCTGTCGATCCTACTCTACTTCAAATTTTCTATTAATATGCTATATTTTAATTCAACCTGTACAGCTAAATGAAGCTGGAGAAAAAACATCCAACCATGATGCCAGGTCTCATTTTAAATTATGGATCATTAACTTAAAGTGTTTTTAATGAACCAGCAATTATACTGTATTTTCTTGGTTCACTTTTTACTATACCTTCTAAGGTCACTATTTCATATTTCTCTCTTCTTGAATATCAGCATCTACTCCCATCTTTATTTTCAGGTGATTAAATGAGAAAACTGAGCTAATCAAGTAACTTTCAAATATTCCTACTGTCACAACTATGCACCTGATTATATCTATACCTACATCCTCTATTTCTCTCTCATTACTCTGGTTGAATTACTTATGATTCCAGCTTAGGTCAATTCCTCTACTCATGTACTAGATTCAATTCCTTTCTGCCTATGCAAGGACATTGCTCTAGTAATTCTCTCATGCTTTTCTTGCTCTACTGCATTATTCCTTTTAGCAGGTAAACATGCTATTATTTCTCCCATCTTAAAGAATTTCTTTTGATTCTGTCTACCTCTCCAGCTACCATCCATTCATCTTTCCTTTAACTATAGCAACTACTTTGAAAGAACTGTCTGTACTTATTGTTTCTAATTTCCCTCTGTATATACTCTCTTGAACCTGATCCAGTCAAGTTTTAGCCCTTATCATTCCACCAAAAGAATTCTTACCAAGGTCTAGTTGCCTCTACAATATTAATTGCCAATGTTCTCATCTTACTTATCAGCAGAATTTACCCAGCTGCTTTTTTTTTTTTTTTTTAACTTGGATTGTAGGATACTTCCCTTATCTGGTTTTCTTCCTACTTTTTCTGCAATGTTCATCCTTGGACATCTTCTGTCTACACTCATAGCCTAGGTGAACTCATCCAATGCATGATTTAAATACCATCTATTTGACTCCCAAATATTTATCTCTACCTTTC